TATTAAAATTTAGTGGCATTTGTTATCTTACAGGTTTTCTTTGCTATATTTATAGTTATTGATGTTGTTGCAATTAGATAGGTTGCTTGTAATTAGCAGATGTGCTAATAATTTGCTGATGACTTTGCAAAAATGAAAGCATGAGATGAAATTAGAACCACAGTAAAGTGCAAAACCTTCTTGCATGAAACATCTTTGTACTCTGACCTTGAAATCAGATAAGCAGTGGCAAAATCACTTCCCCGGTGGTATGTTTGCTGTCCTTGTGATTTTAATTCCTACTCTTTCATGCATAGTGCAATAAAATCACTTTGATACCTACTTATTGAGACATACTTGTAGAAACCTTTTATGTTCTGTTTATGTTAGTGACCCAGTTCTGGTTTTGAAAGAGCAGAGTGTACATCAACACGTTCTGAACAGAATACTGTATTTCACAGATGTGTGTATGTTTGCGGGGGGCGATTTTTGGGTTCTGAGAATCTCAGTTTATGTCATTATTTTTGTGGCACTTGGAGATGAACTACTTAGGCATGTCTTACTGCAGTTCAGCTGCAAGCTCTTAATATTAACACATTTGCAGTCTCTTAGTATATGCATTTAGTTTTGCTTTTGATCAAACTTTTGGGTAAATTCAAAATAGAACATCTATTGGTTCCTTAATCACAATGGTGCAGGAAATAAGTCTCTTGTGTTGATATTTTTAACATAATTTCTCCTAGTTGTAGGGTAATTTTAGGGGGGGGGAAAAGCAAATAAAGATTTATAAAGTTGTATTTTGCTTTGCAAAATAACATTTTGAAATCTGTTTTTAGGGACTTTGAGGAAGATGACCCAGACTGGGTGTCGGAACTGAAAAAGGTAGTGAAACACAGTGACTGAAAACTTGAATTTACCTACAATAGCTGAAGTTAAGCTTGCCAGTATGTATAATCCAAATCATTGTTTTTAATAGTTGTAGTTATTAATAAAATTATTTCAGTCAAAAAATTCTGAGTGGGCATGTTTTCTGTATCACGCAACTGAGGGTGGAAATTGCATAGCAAACCTTTTTAGCTAGAACAGTTGCAAATAGCTAAACAAGTCTAGATGTTAAATGTATTTGGGGTTGGCAACAGCTTTGCAGAAATGTTCAGTCAAAAGCATTAGTGCTAATAGCATTGTTCAGATTGTCATATTTCAAAGAGACGGTGTACCGCTAGGAGAACGTGCAAGGTTTTCTTCCTGACTACATACTGAAATAGTGCAGTGTGGTGGGCTGACCCCGGCTGGACACCAGGGCCCCACACAAGCCATCATTCCTCTCCTCAGCTCATCAGGGGAGAGAAAATATAACAAAAGCCTCGTGGGTCGAGATAAGGGCAGAGAGAGATCATTCAGCAAT